ACAGTGCAGTCCAATGCACTACACTGCAGTCCAGTACACTACACTGCAGTCCAGTACACTACAGTGCAGTCCAGTACACTACAGTGCAATCTAGTACATTACAGTGCAATCTAGTACACTACAGTGCAGTCCAGTACACTACAGTGCAGTCCAGTACACTACAGTGCAATCTAGTACACTACAGTGCAGTCCAGTACACTACAGTGTAGTCCAGTACACTACAGTGCAGTCCAGTACGTTACACTGCAATCTAGTACACTACAGTGCAGTCTAGTACACTACAGTGCAATCTAGTACACTACATTGCAATCTAGTACACTACAGTGCGATCTAGTACACTACATTGCAATCTAGTACACTACAGTGCAATCTAGTACACTACAGTGCAATCTAGGACACTACAGTGCAATCTAGTACACTACAGTGCAATCTAGTACACTACATTGCAATCTAGTACACTACATTGCAATCTAGTACACTACATTGCAATCTAGTACACTACAGTGCAATCTAGTACACTACATTGCAATCTAGTACACTACAGTGCAATCTAGTACACTACAGTGCAATCTAGTACATTACAGTGCAATCTAGTACACTACAGCGCAATCTAGTACACTACAGTGCAATCTAGTACACTACAGTGCAATCTAGTACACTACAGTGCAGTCTAGTACACTACAGTGCAATCTAGTACACTACAATGCAATCTAGTACACTACAGTGCAATCTAGTACACTACAGTACAATCTAGTACACTACAGTGCAATCTAGTACACTACAGTGCAATCTAGTACACTACAGTGCAGTCTAGTACACTACAGTGCAATCTAGTACACTACAGTGCAATCTAGTACACTACAGTGCAATCTAGTACACTACATTGCAATCTAGTACACTACAGTGCAATCTAGTACACTACAGTGCAGTCCAGTACACTACAGTGCAGTCCAGTACACTACAGTGCAATCTAGTACACTATAGTGCAGTCTAGTACACTACAGTGCAATCTAGTACACTACAGTGCAATCTAGTACACTACAGTGCAATCTAGTACACTACAGTGCAATCTAGTACATTACAGTGCAATCTAGTACACTACAGTGCAATCTAGTACATTACAGTGCAATCTAGTACACTACAGTGCAATCTAGTACACTACAGTGCAATCTAGTAAACTAAAGTGCAATCTAGTACATTACAGTGCAATCTAGTACACTACAGTGCAATCTAGTACATTACAGTGCAATCTAGTACATTACAGTGCAATCTAGTACACTACAGTGCAATCTAGTACACTACAGTGCAATCTAGTAAACTAAAGTGCAATCTAGTACACTACAGTGGAATCTAGTACACTACAGTGCAATCTAGTACACTACAGTGCAATCTAGTAAACTACAGTGCAATCTAGTAAACTACAGTGCAATCTAGTAAACTAAAGTGCAATCTAGTACACTACAGTGCAATCTAGTACACTACAGTGCAATCTAGTACACTACAGTGCAATCTAGTAAACTACAGTGCAATCTAGTACACTACAGTGCAATCTAGTACACTACAGTGCAGTCTAGTACACTACAGTGCAATCTAGTAAACTAAAGTGCAATCTAGTACACTACAGTGCAATCTAGTACACTACAGTGCAATCTAGTAAACTAAAGTGCAATCTAGTACACTACAGTGCAATCTAGTACACTACAGTGCAATCTAGTACACTACAGTGCAATCTAGTATACTACAGTGCAATCTAGTAAACTACAGTGCAATCTAGTACACTACAGTGCAGTCCAGTACACTACAGTGCAGTCCAGTACACTACAGTGCAGTCCAGTATACTACACTGCAGTCCAGTACACTACAGTGCAGTCCAGTATACTACACTGCAGTCCAGTACACTACAGTGCAGTCCAGTACACTACAGTGCAGTCCAGTACACTACAGTGCAGTCCAGTACACTACAGTGCAATCTAGTACACTACAGTGCAGTCCAGTACACTACAGTGCAGTCCAGTATACTACAGTGCAGTCCAATACACTACAGTGCAGTCCAGTACACTACAGTGCAATCGAGGACATTACAGTGCAATCTAGTGCACTACAGTGCAATCTAGTGCACTACAGTGCAATCTAGTACACTACAGTGCAATCTAGTACATTACAGTGCAATCTAGTACACTACAGTGCAATCTAGTACACTACAGTGCAATCTAGTACATTACAGTGCAATCTAGTACACTACAGTGCAATCTAGTACACTACAGTGCAATCTAGTACATTACAGTGCAATCTAGTACACTACAGTGCAATCTAGTGCACTACAGTGCAATCTAGTACATTACAGTGCAATCTAGTACACTACAGTGCAGTCCAGTACACTACAGTGCAGTCCAGTACACTACAGTGCAGTCCAGTACACTACAGTGCAGTCCAGTACACTACAGTGCAGCCCAGTACACTACAGTGCAGTCCAGTACACTACAGTGCAGTCCAGTATACTACAGTGCAGTCCAGTACACTACACTGCAGTCCAGTACACTACAGTGCAGTCCAGTACACTACAGTGCAGTCCAGTACACTACAGTGCAGTCCAGTACACTACAGTGCAGTCCAGTACACTACAGTGCAGTCCAGTACACTACACTGCAGTCCAATACACTACACTGCAGCCCAGTACACTACAGTGCAGTCCAATACACTACAGTGCAGCCCAGTACACTACAGTGCAGTCCAGTACACTACAGTGCAGTCCAGTACACTACAGTGCAGTCCAGTACACTACAGTGCAGCCCAGTACACTAAACTGCAGTCCAGTACACTACAGTGCAATCTAGTACATTGCAGTGCACCAGAGTACACAACAGTGCATTACAATGCACTGCAGCACAAACATTGCACTACAGGGCACTGCAGTGCACTACAGTGCACCTGAGTACATACGAGTGCCCCATAACATTCAATGTTTCCACTACTGTCTCACAACAGTGCACCAGGGTGCACAAGGTGCACCAGGGTGCACAAGGTGCACCAGGGTACACCAGAGTGCACCATAACACAGTGTTTCCACTACTCTCTCACAACAGTGCACCAGGGTGCACAAGGTGCACCAGGGTACACCAGAGTGCACCATAACACACAGTGTTTCCACTACTGTCTCACAACAGTGGAATATTAACTGTTTATTTTGATTGTGTTAAGATAAGTCGAGAAGGTCAGTGTTTCTGGACACATTACCAGTCCTGTGTCCTCCAGGATACTCTATGGACTCCTGCTAGTCCTTACTGTACTCTGAGGAGTCCACCACGTGTCTTGAAGATTGTGTGCAGGCTGGAGAATCCTTAGGAAGAGTCCTGGGGTCATGTGTCCTCCAGGATACTCTATGGACTCCTGCTAGTCCTTACTGTACTCTGAGAAGTCCACCACGTGTCTTGAGATTGTGTGCAGGCTGGAGAATCCTTAGGAAGAGTCCTGGGGTCATGTGTCCTCCACGATACTCTCTGGACTCCTGCTAGTCCTTACTGTACTCTGAGGAGTCCACCACGTGTCTTGAAGATTGTGTGCAGGCTGGAGAATCCTTAGGAAGAGTCCTGGGGTCATGTGTCCTCCACGATACTCTCTGGACTCCTGCTAGTCCTTACTGTACTCTGAGGAGTCCACCACGTGTCTTGAAGATTGTGTGCAGGCTGGAGAATCCTTAGGAAGAGTCCTGGGGTCATGTGTCCTCCACGATACTCTCTGGACTCCTGCTAGTCCTTACTGTACTCTGAGGAGTCCACCACGTGTCTTGAAGATTGTGTGCAGGCTGGAGAATCCTTAGGAAGAGTCCTGGGGTCATGTGTCCTCCACGATACTCTCTGGACTCTTGCTAGTCCTTACTGTACTCTGAGGAGTCCACCACGTGTCTTGAAGATTGTGTGCAGGCTGGAGAATCCTTAGGAAGAGTCCTGGGGTCATGTGTCCTCCACGATACTCTCTGGACTCCTGCTAGTCCTTACTGTACTCTGAGGAGTCCACCACGTGTCTTGAAGATTGTGTGCAGGCTGGAGAATCCTTAGGAAGTGTCCTGGGGTCATGTGTCCTCCACGATACTCTCTGGACTCCTGCTAGTCCTTACTGTACTCTGAGGAGTCCACCACGTGTCTTGAAGATTGTGTGCAGGCTGGAGAATCCTTAGGAAGAGTCCTGGGGTCATGTGTCCTCCACGATACTCTTTGGACTCCTGCTAGTCCTTACTGTACTCTGAGGAGTCCATCACGTGTCTTGAAGATTGTGTGCAGGCTGGAGAATCCTTAGGAAGAGTCCTGGGGTCATGTGTCCTCCACGATACTCTCTGGACTCCTGCTAGTCCTTACTGTACTCTGAGGAGTCCATCACGTGTCTTGAAGATTGTGTGCAGGCTGGAGAATCCTTAGGAAGAGTCCTGGGGTCATGTGTCCTCCAGGACATGTCTGGACTCCTGCCAGTCCTTACTGTACTCTGAGGAGTCCCCCGCGTGTCTTGAAGCTGTATGCAGGAAGGAAGAGTCCTAAGGGAGAGTCCTGTAAAGTTCTGAACGTCTTGAAGACTGTGTGGAGGCAGGAGAATCCTTTTGAAAAGTTCTAAGGAGTCCTCAGTGACTTTAGGATACATAGAAGTTCCTCTAAATCCTTTAGGCATTGTAAAAATTCTCTTTATTGACTGTAGGATACTGTAGGATACTGTAGGATACTGTAGGATACTGTAGATGATTCAAATTGACTGTGCTAGTTGATAAGTGTGTGTGTGTGTGTGTGTGTACTCACCTATTTGTGGTTGCAGGGGTCGAGTTATAGCTCCTGGCCCCGCCTCTTCACTGAGTGCTTCTAGGTCCTCTCTCTCCCTGCTACATGAGCTTTATCATACCTCGTCTTAAAACTAGGTATGGTTCCTTCCTGTGTGTGTGTGTGTGTGTGTGTGTGTGTGGCGCTTGCGGGGTAGATTTCCCCCCCCCCACACACACTGGCACTCTTGGCAACATCGACAGTACCAATAAAGACGGCGCCCCTGGCGGTGGTTTCCGACATACCACGCCATACTCACTGACGTCCCTAGTGCCACATACTCCGAAGGATCCTTCCAGAACCACATACAGTGCAACACAGTGCCACACGCAGTGCCACATACAATGTTATAGTGTCACACACGTCCTTTAATGCAGTGTCATACACACCCACTAATACAGTGCCACACACGCCGTATAATACAGTGCCATACACGCCCTCTAATACAGTGCCACACACACGCCACTAACAGTTCCACACATGCCACTAACAGTGAAACAGACGCCACTAACAGTGAAACACACGTCACTAACAGTGAAACACACGACACTAACAGTTCCACACACGCCACTAACAGTGAAACACACGCCCACTGTGACTCAACGAGGCTGCTGGAACATTAAGAACATAAATCACCTGTGGAACTATTGTATCAGTGCAAAGGTGAGACTTACCAGTTGTTACTATGACCTAGCTTAGCTCCAGTTCCTCGGATCAACTGCGGCAACATGCGGGGACCAGGACTCTTCAACTAGCTGTTGACAACAACAGTCTGGTTGATCAAGTAATTTAGAGCCCTTTAGAAACATCTGTGTATATAACATATGTGTATATAACACCTGCATGTACACAACACCTGCGTGTACACGACACCTGCGTGTACACAACACCTGTGTGTACACACCTGCGTGTACACAACACCTGTGTGTACACAACACCTGAGTGTACACAACACCTATTTGTAAGCAGCACCTGCATGTACACAACACCTGCGTGTACACAACACCTGTATGTACAGTAACCCCACTTATCAACCTCCCAGCCTATATAAATCCAGCCAGGAACCGTGATTCAAACCCCCACAGATGTGAATAGGTCAGTACAGTGTCAGCAGACAGCCCAGTAATCAAAGATCAATTATCTTAGTGCTGCTTAAGCAGACTGACTCCGATCCTTCAAGACACAACAAGGATACAGCAGGATACAGTAGGATACGACCAGGCTTGGTGGTGGATCAGGACCTGATCAACCAGGTTGTTACTGCTGGTCGCACGTAAACCAACGTAGGAACCACAGCCCGGCTGGTCAGGTACTGACTTTGTCTGTCCAGCTCTCTCTTGAAGACAGCCAGGGGTCTTGAAGACAGCCAGGGGTCTTGAAGACAGCCAGGGGTCTTGAAGACAGCCAGGGGTCTTGAAGACAGCCAGGGGTCTTGAAGACAGCCAGGGGTCTTGAAGACAGCCAGGGGTCTTGAAGACTGCTAGGGGGTCTTGAAGAAAGCCAGGGGTCTTGAAGACTGCTAGGGGGTCTTGAAGAAAGCCAGGGGTCTTGAAGACTGCTAGGGGGTCTTGAAGAAAGCCAGGGGTTTTGAAGACAGATAGTGGTCTTAAAGATAGCCAGGGGTCTTTAAGACAGCCAGGGGTCTATTGATAATCCCCTTATGTATGCTGGGAGGCAGTTGAACAGTCTCGGGCCCCAGACACTTATTGTGTTGTCTCTTAGTGTACTCGTGGCTCGCCTGCAGCTTTTCATTGGGGGAATGTTGCATCTCCTGCCCAGTCTTTTGCTCTTGTACAGAGTGATTATCGTGTGCAGATTTGGGACTAGACCCTCTAGGATTTTCCAGGTGTATATTATCACGCATCTTTCTCGCCTGCGTTCCAGGGAGTACAAGTCAAGGGATTTCAACAGTTCACAGTAATCTAGGCGCTTTATCATACTTATATGTGCAGTGAAAGTTCTCTGCATATTCTCCAGGTCTGCAATTTCACCTGCCTTGAAGGGGGCAGTTAGTGTACAGCAATATTCCAGCATAAAAATAACAAGCGATTTAAAGAGAATCATCATGGGCTTGGCATCCCTAGTTTTGAAGGTTCTCATTATCCATCCAGAATTTTGAAGGTTCTCATTATCCATCCTTAGTTTTAAAGGTTCTCATTATCCATCCTTAGTTTTAAAGGTTCTCATTATCCATCCTTAGTTTTAAAGGTTCTCATTATCCATCCTTAGTTTTGAAGGTTCTCGTTATCCATCCTTAGTTTTGAAGGTTCTCATTATCCATCCTTAGTTTTGAAGGTTGTCATTATCCATCCTTAGTTTTGAAGGTTCTCATTATCCATCCTTAGTTTTGAAGGTTCTCATCATCCATCCTTAGTTTTGTAGGTTCTCATTATCCATCCTTAGTTTTGTAGGTTCTCATTATCCATCCTTAGTTTTGAAGGTTCTCATTATCCATCCTTAGTTTTGTAGGTTCTCATTATCCATCCTTAGTTTAGAAGGTTCTCATTATCCATCCTTAGTTTTGAAGGTTCTCATTATCCATCCTTAGTTTTGAAGGTTCTCATTATCCATCCTTAGTTTTGAAGGTTCTCATTATCCATCCTTAGTTTTGTAGGTTCTCATTATCCATCCTTAGTTTAGAAGGTTCTCATTATCCATCCTTAGTTTTGTAAGTTCTCATTATCCATCCTTAGTTTTGAAGGTTCTCATTATCCATCCTTAGTTTTGAAGGTTCTCATTATCCATCCTTAGTTTTGAAGGTTCTCATTATCCATCCTTAGTTTTGTAGGTTCTCATTATCCATCCTTAGTTTTGAAGGTTCTCATTATCCATCCTTAGTTTTGAAGGTTCTCATTATCCATCCTTAGTTTTGAAGGTTCTCATTATCCACCCTTATTTTTTAAGGTTCTCTTTATCCATCTTATTTTGAAGTTCTTTACCACCCCTTATTTTTAAAGGTTCTCGTTCCATCCTTAGTTTAAAGGGTTCTCGTACCCAAACTTATTTGAAAGGTTCTCTTTATCCCCTTTTTTTGAAGGTTCTCTTTTATCCATCCTTAGTTTTGAAGGTTCTCATTATCCATCCTTAGTTTGAAGGTTCTCATTACCATCCTTATTTTGTAGGTTCTCATTATCCCTTAGTTTGAAGGTTCTCATTATCCAACCTTTTTTGTGGTTCTCATTTCCACCTTATTTTGAAGGTTCTCATTTCCCCTTAGTTTTGAAGGTTCTCATTATCCACCCTTTTATTTTGAAGGTTTCCATTACCCCCTTTAGTTTTAAAGGTTCCATTATCCACCCTTTTTGTGGGTTTCCATTATCCATCCTTATTTTAAAGGTTCCATTATCCATCCTATTTTGTAGTTCCTTTATCCCCTTTATTTTGAAGGTTCTCTTTCCTCCTAGTTTTAAAGGTTTCCCTCTTATCCACCTTATTTTAAAGGGTTCTCATTATCCATCCTTATTTTAAAGGGTTTCTATTTCCCCCTAGTTTTAAGGTTCTCTTAACCTTCTATCTTTTCTCTAGCAGTTGCGTAGATACATTATTATGATTTTTTAAAAAGTAAATTTCCCTTAACATTCCCACTCCCATCCATCCATTAATTTTTCGCTCTACTGTGCGTTGAACTTTTTTTATACCCGGGTACGTTTTAATTTCCTTCAGTTTCTCTTCGTACAATTTCTTTCCCCGACTTCACATCGTTTTAAAGATTTGTTGATGTCCGCTTGGGAGACTTGCGTGTCTTTCAGGGAGGACACTGTCAGCAAATTCGGGTTTGAATTGGGAATTTTGGGAGGGTACTGGGGGTTTACACTTTATGTTGAATGAGGACGGGAAAGGGGAGGGGAACAGTACGTGCCTTGGGGCACGGACGAGTACTGTCCCTTGTGGAAACATGGGGCGAGTACTGCCTTGGGGAAACACTGGAGCGAGTACTGTCCTTGTGGAACACTGGACGAGTACTGTCCTTGTGGAACACGGAGCGAGTACTGTCCTTAGGAACACGGGAGTGAGTACTGTGCCGTGGAACACGGGAGCGAGTACTGTGCCTTGGGGGAACCTGGAGCGAGTACTGTGCCTGTGGAACACTGGACGAGTACGTGCCTTGGGGAAACGGACGAGTACTGTGCCGGAGGACACTGGGGGGAGTAAGACCTTGTGGAACAAGAGCGAGTACTGCGCCTTGGGGAAACCCACTGGAGTGAGTACTGTACCTTGTGGAACACAGCGATACTGCGCCTTGTGGAAAAAAGGCGAGTACTGCGCCTTGGGAACACGGGAGTGATACTGCCCTTTGGGAACTGGAGGATCTGTCCTTGGGAAACTGAGTGAGTCTGTACCTTTGGAACACGGAGGGATACTGTCCTTGGGGAAAACACTGTTGCAAATACTGTCCCTTTATGAACACTGGGAAAGTACTGTCCTTGTGGAACCGGGAGCGAGTACTGTGCCTTGGGGGCACTGGAGCAAGACTGTGCCTTGGGGGAAACACGGGAGCAAGTAACTGTGCCTTGTGGAACACGGAGCGAGTACTGTGCCTTGGGGAACACTGGCAATACTGTCCCTTGTGGAACACTGGACCCATTGTGCCTTGTGGAACAGCAGGAGTACGTCCTTGTGGAACACGGGACGGTATGTAAATTTGGGAACACGGGGAGCCTTATTGTCCCTTGGGGAACAGGAGCGAGTATGGGCCTTGGGGAACACGGAGCGAGTACTGTGCCTTTTTGGAACCGGAGCGAGATGTCCCTTTTTAACAATGAGCAGTATTGTACCTTGTGGAACCGGGGGGGTACTTCCTAAGAAACTTTGGGAGCGAGTACTGTGTCTTGTGGAACACGGGAGCAGTACTTCCCTTTGGGAAACAGGGAGTGAGTACTGTACCTGTGGAACCTGGAGCGAGTTTTGTACCTTGTGGAACACGGAGCGAGTAACTGTTGTGAACCCGGGAGGGTATTGTACCTTGGGAACACGGGGAGCGGAACGTGCCTTGGGAAACTGAGCAGTACTGTCCCTTTGTGGCCACTGGGGGGCGGTTTTAAAACCTTGGGAACACTGGAGCAGTACTGTGCCGTGGAACACTGGAGCGATACTGTGAATTGTGGAACACTGGGACCCAGTATTGTACCTTGTGGAACACTGGAGCGAGTACTGTGCTTGTGGAACACTGGGCCGAGTACTGTATTGGGGAACACTGGGCGATATTGTACCTTGGGGAACACGGGAGGGGACGTGCCTTGAAAACCGGGAGCGAGTCTGTTCTGGAACACTGGGCGAGAAAGCCTTTGGGAACACTGAGCGATATGTCCTTGGGGAACACTGGGGGCGATAATTGTACCTTTTGGGGAACACTGGAGCGAGTACTGTCCTTTGTGGAACACTGGACGAGTTTTTGTCCTTTTTGGAACACTGGACCGGGTACTGTCCCTTGTGGAACACTGGAGGAGTAACGTCCTTGGGGAACACGGGAGCGATATTGTACCTTTTGGAACACGGGAGCGAGACGTCCCTGTGGAACCTGGAGCGAGTATTGTACCTTGTGAACACGGGAGCGAGTATTGTACCTTGTGGAACACTGGAGCCAGTTTTGTCCCTTTGTAACATGAGCGAGTACTGGCCTTGGGGAAAACACGGGAGGGAGTATTGACCTTTGGGGAAACATG